ACTAAGCCTTGTGACTTATATGCATGCATATGAGCAAAACCAATGGACACAGACTTGGGGTGTGGGGGCGGCTGGGGAGAGGTCAATGGCGGGAAAAAGGAGACTTATGTAATACTTTAAACAATAAAGAATTTAAATTTTAAAAAAGAGTAAGCCTTGTAATATTTGTTACCTATTTGTCTGATCTTCTAATTAGTATTTACTTTTCTGAATGAGTATGGGATATAGTCAGCATTTGTAAGTTGATCGGGGATTTCGTAGGGACTTTGAAATTGTTAGGGGAGGCGAAAAGCAGTTTTGAGGAGGTTTCTTGTTTAACTAAAAAAAAAAAAAAAGTTCAGTAATGTGTGAGATCAAGGTGCATCATCCTAGCATTTGAATTACTGCTCAAAAAAGTACACAAATGAAATGAGCACACCATTGTTAAAATCATTTAAACCTTTATGACTGGAGAGAAATAACAGCTTAACTATGTAGACCATCATTGCCAGTTTTCATATATATAAGAGGACTGATGCACACAAAGAAAGTCTGACTCTTAATGTTTCCTTTCTGGGGATCTGCAGGGTTGAGCTCCCTCAAACCTAACAAAGGAAGAGGAGTCCCTTCTACCTTATGACTGGTATTTTTTTATTACATCACTGTAAGAGCAGGTCTAGTTAACAAAGGAGTTATTTTATCTCTTTTCTCTAGTTAACACATTGATTGTGGCTCTCAAATTTAACTTCAGTTTTCAAACTACACAGTTTGAACAAACATATATGTCCCCCCCCCCCCCCGCAACAAATAAGAAAGTTTCTTACCTGTTTCTTTTATCATTAATTTTTGGAATTCTATATTTGGAAGAATAGACATTTCAGATTAAGGGAAACTTCAGGTTTTGTCAGATGATTAGGTGTGGTTGAGTTTATCCAGTTTGTCTTTTCGTGGAAATTTTAATGAAAAATTTTGCAGCAAAATTTAGTTAAATAAATTTGGTTAACCTTTTAGTTGATTGATATCTGTGTTGGTTGGTTTATTGACATCTATTTGAAAATCATTTTACTTTTCTTTAAATTGTGCATGCATTAAATGTTTGGTTATGGAGCACATAATGACTGATACACCATCAAAACATTCGTAATATTTCCTGATAAACTACTAAGTGGCTTTTTGATGAATAGTTTCATGGCCTCTGCAATTGGTTGAAGAAATCCTTATCATAAATTAACTTTTCTACAAACTTCTGGAACTTGTTGACATGTTGTTTTGAATCATGTCTCTGAAGTAATAGTCTATTTCTTATTCTTCCCAAGAATTCTGCCTCTTGTCCAAAGCTAGTTCCACTTCAATATTATGGCCCTCCTTATTCTTAATTATCTTCCTACTCTCAAGCCTAGCACACATATTTAGTAAATAAATACTAGCTTTTTTATTTTCAGTCTCTTCTACACTCTTTATTCTCTATATTTAAGAGCACATGCACTCTCCTGATCTTGAATAGTTCAGTTGCTCTGCTATTTCTGTCCTCCAAAATGTCATCCTTTTTTGCATTCTTTTACTGCAGTTTGAGTCCACACTTATTGTCTCAATTTTCTTACTAATGGCCATAGATAGACAGATGGTTAGTAGATAGTAATGCGTGCAAAAAACAAATACAAACAAACTGGACTAGTTGTGAAATCCCCATAGAAGCACCCACAAAAAGGACAAAATTGTAGTGTAGAAAACAGGACTATAACAAGAGTACAAGGAGGCTTCTTCATTCACACAGACATAGCTGTGACAGTTAACAAGCTCTCTGAAGTAGAAAAGAGCTAATAGATGGAAAGTGATGGGCCTTAAGGAATGCCTGTACTTAAGGAAGAGGACAATGAGATAGAGTTTGAAGGGAGATAGAACTATACATGATTGTCCAGTTTAGAATTCTTAACTTTTAAAATGTTTGACTCAAAAAAGTTTACAGAAATGTTCCTCATTCCTCCCCTCCCCCCCAAAAAAGGGCATTTACTAGCAACTGTAGGTTAAAAACCAAGTCTTTTTTCATTATTTTGTGGACTTTACTTATACTCTCCTCTGTGTTTTTGGATGTGGCAAAGCCTCCAGGATTTCATAACTTCTTTTTTTTAAAAAAAAAAATCTTTTTTTTAATTGATTTTAGAGAGAGGAAGGGATGGAGGGAGAGAGAGACAGACAGACAGACATCGATTGGTTGCCTCCTTGTACCCAACCAGACCAGGATTAAATTCACAACCTGGGTAGGTATCCAGACCAGAATCTAAACCACCACCTTTCACTATGTGAGGACGATACTCCAACCAACTGAGCCACACCAGCCAGGGCAGCTTCTCCCTTTTTGATTCCTATTTTCTTTATTTTCTTCACTTTCCCCCTTCTTTCCCTCCATTAGCTACAACACTTTTCCTACCAAAGATCCCTTCATTAGCTACCACACTTTTCCTACCAAAGACCAAATGACTACTACCTAGGGAAAAAGAGGATTACTTTTTTCAAGCCCTTCACACACACCTACTTACCTACCTACCTCCCTCTCTCTTTCCTGCAAACGGCCAATAGCCCCTTGCCCAGGCCTGCCCCACCCCCAGCGGGGACCCCCACCCTGATGGGGGCATGGCTGGCCTGCAAACTGCCCCAGCCCCTCACCCAGGCCGGCACCGCCCCAGTGGGGACCCCCACCCCGATGGGGGCATGGCTGGCCTGCAAACTGCCCCAGCCCCTCACCCAGGCCGGCACCGCCCCAGTGGGGACCCCCACCCCGATGGGGGCATGGCTGGCCTGCAAACTGCCCCAGCCCCTCACCCAGGCCGGCACCGCCCCAGTGGGGACCCCCACCCCGATGGGGGCATGGCTGGCCTGCAAACTGCCCCAGCCCCTCACCCAGGCCGGCACCGCCCCAGTGGGGACCCCCACCCCGATGGGGGCATGGCTGGCCTGCAAACTGCCCCAGCCCCTCACCCAGGCCGGCACCGCCCCAGTGGGGACCCCCACCCCGATGGGGGCATGGCTGGCCTGCAAACTGCCCCAGCCCCTCACCCAGGCCGGCACCGCCCCAGTGGGGACCCCCACCCCGATGGGGGCATGGCTGGCCTGCAAACTGCCCCAGCCCCTCACCCAGGCCGGCACCGCCCCAGTGGGGACCCCCACCCCGATGGGGGCATGGCTGGCCTGCAAACTGCCCCAGCCCCTCACCCAGGCCGGCACCGCCCCAGTGGGGACCCCCACCCCGATGGGGGCATGGCTGGCCTGCAAACTGCCCCAGCCCCTCACCCAGGCCGGCACCGCCCCAGTGGGGACCCCCACCCCGATGGGGGCATGGCTGGCCTGCAAACTGCCCCAGCCCCTCACCCAGGCCGGCACCGCCCCAGTGGGGACCCCCACCCCGATGGGGGCATGGCTGGCCTGCAAACTGCCCCAGCCCCTCACCCAGGCCGGCACCGCCCCAGTGGGGACCCCCACCCCGATGGGGGCATGGCTGGCCTGCAAACTGCCCCAGGCCCCTTGCCCAGGCTCCTCAAGGGGACCCCCACCCTGATCCGGGACCCCCTTCAGGGCAGACCAGCCGGCCCCCACCCGTGCACCAGGCCTCTATCTTAAGGTTAATATGCTAATTAGACCGGACATCCTTCCAAACAAAGCCATGGTGGCAGGGCCAAGGCAGAGGCAGTTAGGGGTGATCAAGCTGGCAGGGGAGAGCAGTTAGGGGGATCAGGCTGGCAGGGGAGAGCAGTTAGGTGGATCTGGCCAGCAGGGTAGAGCAGTTAGGGAGATCAGGCTGGCGGGGGAGAGAAGTTAGGGGGATCAGGTCTGCAGGGGAGAGAAGTTAGGGGGATCAGGCCAGCAGGCAGGCAAGTGGTTAGGAGCCAGCAGTCCCAGATTGCAAGAGGGATGTCTGACTACCGGCAGTCAGACATCCCCCGAGGGGTCCCGGGTTAGAAAGTGTGCAGACAAGACTAAGAGACACCTTCCCCTCCCATGCACAAATTTCGTGCACCAGGCCTCTAGTAAGACATAAAACCATCGTGACCCCCTCAAGTAGGCATACAGATACACAGAAAGATAGATGATCTGGTAAAAGAGGGTAAACAAATGGGCAGTATGGACCATGAGTAAAGTGACCACAAACCCTGATAATGAGTTTATTTTAAAGTTTTTCTTAAACTTTGTCCAAAAGTCTTATATTAAAATCCCTGGTCATATGTTCTTATTTTTAAATGTTGGGCATTTGGTCATAGAAATCTTTTAATTTAAAAGTGCCTGTATCCTGAATATGTTGAATGCCTTTCGTCCCAACTTGTTTGTCTAGTTGTCTTTCCATTTTCTATTTCTGTTGATCAGACATAGACAGTTAACGTTTTCTCTCTGTGTATCCTGGGACCTAACACACTGTTTCATGTTCAATATTGTTCAATGGGTAGATGGATTTTAAAGAAGCCTTTCTATTTTAGCAGATTTTTATCTTAATTGCGATGGTAAATCTGACTTTCTTTTAAGTTACTGAGAATACTACATCCTGTATTCATTTTTATTCCATTTTCATCCCAGCCGTGGCAATTGGGATTCTCTTGCTTTGCTAGGTATAAGATTGCGGTTAAAATTGAACTATGCTGTTTTATTTCATGAACTATAGTCATATTCTTTTTTTCTCTGGCACCATCACCCTCAATTCCTTAGTCAAATATTATCAGAGTAGTTTGGGAAAATCTAGTATATTTAAGTTATTAAAAGATGGAAATAGATCTTATTGATATGCTTAATCTCAAACTTTTGGCCAGTGCTTCTCCCAGATATCTTGAGTTCTCAGGCATATTCTAATTTTAGCAGATAGTGTCTTGGTTTCTCTGTAGCTCATTTAGTTTCAGGTGTAGGTTTATCACATCTTTTTTTTTTTTTTCTGTTAAACTAGTGTTTTACTGTAGTATCACATATTGTTACCAATAAAGTTGTTTCACATACAAAGTTAAAAGTGAGCTCTAACCTATGTCTTCTTACTATTTCTCTAGAACTGTCCAGTAATCCACCTCTAGCTACCATTCTTATTCCTCCTCATGCTCGGATTCAAGCAGCTGCTTCAACCCCAACAAATGCCACAGCAGCCTCAGGTGAGAACATATAAGTCTCTTTTATAAAAATGTATTGTTTTTTTAAAAGACATGATTACCTCCATTTTATTTCTTTTGATACATGTGAATATTTAATACCTTCCAAGTATCAACAGCACAGCCAAACGAATAAATGTGAATAAAATAGTGCTCTATTTTCAAAAAGCACAAAAGGACCCCATAAATAACTTTTTATATAAGGTGTAAATATCTTATTATGTTAAATTTTTTTGTTATTTTTAAAGTCATACTTTCCATATAATTTCTTGATTATATATCAAATGAGATGCCAATAGCAAAAAGCAATCTGTACAGACGTAATGTCATTGAAGATAATTCACTTTAATTCCAACACCCTGAATGTAAACTATATTAGTATACTAGAGAGGCAAATTTTTAAGAAGTATAAAATATAGATTGGTGAGTTTAATCATTCAACAGGACTAAAACTGCAATGCAGGTACATTTAACTAAGATTTAGATCAGAATGTGATTAGGTCTTCTATCAAAAAAAAACCCTCGTTGGTCTCCCAGGGTACAGCTTAGTGTACTGCCGGTCCCTTAGCCAATTAATGGTGTGGCCTGTTTTGGCACAAATCACTGTCATTACAGATATGCTGAAAATACCCAACCCTTGTGTGAATTGAAGTTCTTCGGAAGAATGGCTGGATGCTGTTTAAGTTAGAAATATACTAGGTAGCCTACTCAGGCTCAGAATTTGGTATCCCCTCTTTTCTTAGAAAAAACAGATGTCAGAAGCTGACTTTATTTTCATTAAATCATTTATTACATTGAACTAAGTTGGATCGGACCCATTTTTGCCTAAGGGCATTTATGCTGCAGGAGATGAAATCTTTCATTATTAGTTCCCTGCATTTAACAGTAAAGTCAGAATCCATCTGTTGTCTAACACAAAGTTGTTTGTTTTTGTCCAGTATTAATCTTTTGTGACATTGCTAGTGAAGATTAAAAATATTTCATGCTAGTCCATGTCCTATCTTCATTCCAGAAGTCTGGAAAGTTCTCTTTTTCACTTCTAGTTCTATTAGCACATGCTACCTTGAGAAAGACATTAAAACTTTATTAGTTTTAGTATGTCTTATTAGTTTTCTCATTTCTGTAAAATGAGTGGCAATGCTCTCCTAGAAAAATTTTATAAAAACTAAATATGTACTAAAATATGCTTTAAATTTTTTAAATGTAAAATACAGAGTTTTTAAAATATATATATTACCTATCTATTTAAAACAAATATAGATTGCTTAGATGAGCTATTAATAACTTACTAGATCACAGGTTAGGTTATGTTGATTGTTCAAAACCTGAAATAGACCCTAACCCTGAACTAAATGCATTTGCTTGTTGAGCTAGTTTCCAGAGTTTTATCAGAATTACTTTAGACTATGAATAAAAATAAGAATTATGATTGGAAAGTTTTGAGTAATTTTAAGTGATTTTTCTTTACATATATATATATATATTTTTAATTGATTTCAGAGAGGAAAGGAGAGGGAGAGAGAGAGAAACATCAATGATGAAAGAGAATTATTGGTTGGCTGCCTCCTGCATGCCCCCTATTGGGGATTAAACCCACAACCCATGCATGTGCCCTTGGCCAGAAATAACAGTGGTAAACTGAGTGCTGGAGTTGCTAGTATGCCTGGGACCGTCAATCCATAGGCTGACACTCTATCCACTGAGCCAAATCGGCTAGGGCTAAATGCTTTTCTTAATGTGAGATACTAAACTAAGGTTTTTAGGCAATTTGCCTAGTAGGAGTGTAAGGTTATTTTTACATTTGATGCAGGTTATAGTAGTTACCCAAAAAATATTTTCATTGCTTTATGTGTACACACACACACACACACACACACACACACACACACATATATATTCTTATAGCTACTGAAGTCAGATTTCCACATAAATATGGAAACTGGCACTGGACTGTGATCCTTAAAGTTTACTTCAAAGTTGAAGTAAATCGGGGGGTGGGGAACTTAATAGAGGAATAGTAGGCTGAGAGCAGAGCTAAAATTAGTTTAGAAAAATGCATGTCTTGAATAGCTTAATAGTTACCAAAGAGGATTTCAGATATTGCTCTGAATTTCCTAGTGGCTAAAGTAAATAAATGTTATCTGTTAAAATTTTTCACTGTTCATTAGATTAAAAGTACACTTGTGGCTTAGGAGAAGCAAAGTGTTTCTGGCCCTGCTGTGAAAAGTATTTCTTCTCCGTCAGGGCCTTGGATTTGGTATTGTAAGAGATATAGTAAATGAAGTTCTCATCACCATTTCAACAATAAATGTAATAGTGAGTTTCATGTGGATACTTCTGAGTATCCCTCGTGTAAGCTAAAGGTATAACACTACAGTATAGTTAAAGGAAAACAGTTTCTTTGGGGCCAAAGTAGTGAGAGCCAAGTATGTTATCAAATATATCTCAGGAAATGCTGATCTAGATGAATGGATTGACTGTATGACATGAACAGCTGCCTGTATTTAAGTAAATATATATGTATGTTTATATATTTTTTAAATAAGAATTTGATGGTGTCAATTATATTTTTTAATAAGACCTTAAAATATACATGCTCTCTATTGCCTGCCTTAGCTTCAGTTTCTTTAGCCATAAAACAGGAATAGTAACTACCCACTGCATAGAGTTCTGAGAAGTAAGGTACAAAATGTACAGAGTGCGCAGCTTGTGTTTTGTTCAAGGTCCAAGTAGTGGCTACAGGTGAATTGATTAAGACCCATTGGAAAGCATTACTGTGTATAGCAAGAACCATTGAAGTTCATACTTTTTATTGCACTAATTCCACTTTAGGGATTTATCTTCAGGATACATCTACCGTGCACAGAGATAGGAATCTATAATAATAAAAGTGTAATATGCTAATTAGACCGACGTCCTTCCAGACGAAGCCAGGGTTGTGAGGGAAGCCTGGGTCCTGGGTGCCAGAGAGAAGCCGGTGCTGGCAGCCAGGGGAAGGAAGGCCTACTCTTGCACAAATATTCATGCATTGGGCCTCTAGTAATTACATAATAGCAAAAAGGAGAGCCAGTCTGATTTGAATGGTCAACAGTAGGAAATCGTTTTAATACATTATGAATCTCCATTTTTATTAACCATGAAATAATTATGAAGCTTTTAGACATTTGTGGAAATAAATACTCAATTTATGTGGAGAAAATCTTTAAAAAATCTTATGTACCATGCTGATAATTCCCAAAATGTGTGGATAGGGACTAGATAGAAATATGCAAAAAGTTATGTTAAATTAGTAGGTGTAGATTTTTTTCTCTCTCAAAAACTTTTGCATTCTTTTTAAATTGTTAAAATACCTCAGTTTCTGGGAGCATTATAGTTGATCATGGCTCTGACATGACAAACTCTTGAAAATTACAGGTACTACTAGTCTCAATCCATAAAGTATAATTTCTTATTTTGATACATGTATGTGTGTGTGTGTGTATGTTCTGATTTTCTCCACACCCCAAACATCCTCTCATTCACTCCATTTGAGAGACCATTCATCTAAACTATTTGGTTAACAAATCTTGAGAAATCACAGCTTCACTAATCAAGAGATCACCTGATCCAGTTCTAGAATAGTTAAATGTGACATGTGGTAGGGAATTTTAACTACAGCAGTTTTTTTCTCTTCATTTGTTTTGTATATCAGTCTGCAGGGCAATGGTTCTTTTATTAAAACTAATTTGAAAACTGATTTCAGTTCACCTCTCATACCTACTGAGAACTAATTGTTTATTCCATGCTTATGTATATTCAGTAATTGGAAGCTCATTACTGAAAGAAGGAGCACATTCCATCTGTATATCAGTCTGTTAGGAAGTTTATCCTTTTTTCACCCTAGAATTTGTTCCCCTATACTTTCTTCTACTCAGTGATTCTACTTTGGGGTTACATAGAACCAACCCATTCATTAAAAAAATCCTTCAAATTTTAGTAATGGCTAACATGCCCCTCATACTAACGAGGTTTTTAAAACTAACCCTGTTCTAAAGTGTCAGGGTGTTAGGTTTTCTATACAGTTGTGTATCACCTGCACATTTTCATAAACACATCAACTTCTTGTCTATATTCAAGCAATTAATAAAATCTATCAAACAGGACAAGGCAAGGCTTTCTAGAAGTGGTCTTTTTCCCTTTGTTGAAATTACTGATAAAATAAGTTAAATGAGACCAGGCAAGGCTTACTAAAGATGATTCTTCTGGTGGTCTCCAGGTAGTTGGTTAATCTTCTTGTTTGCTTAGCTACAGACCAACCTTAAATATATATAATAATGTTATTAAAAACTTTTGTAAAATGCTTTGCTGTTGGCAATAAAACATTCAGATTTCTTCTGTCAAAAAGGTATAACTGTCAAAGATGAAAATAAAACTTTTTTAAGACAGGGAAATTTCTAGTGCCTGAATGTGTATAAACTGCATTTCTGTAGTCCATGTTAAGAATTTGTTTCTTGGACTATGGGCTCTGTGTTTAATGACATTTACATGTGTAAATTGCCCTCACCTTCCTTGGGCTGCATTTTGTTTATTAGGATTTTTGTTATATCCTTTCCAGGTTGAAAACCCTTCTAACAGAAAAGGGAATCATGATAGGAGTTGGACAAGGTCTGTCTTCTCTGTCTTTTTACCTGGTCAGGGTATTTAACTTTTCTTGATCTTGCTTTGAAAACCTTTTGCTGTTACTTATTTTAACCAAGCCTGGCCTATTCTTACCAGTTCACATTGTTATTTTTTATTCTTCCTTGCATATGTGTCCTTCTTCTCATATATTTTTTAATATGAGCTCATATGAGAAAACCCTTTAAGCTGGTTTATTTGGTTCTTTTCCCTCTGCTTTGCATTGATACTATTTGCAATTGATTGGTCAGAAATTATTTTTCTAATTTTCTCTTTCTTGTCAATTATTAGCCTCTTTTGAAGACTAGCCACAAAATCATACTTGTTAGTTCTCTGAACTTTTTGAA